GTAAATATAATTTTGCTTGAGTACCATTGCGATCACTTGCTAATCACATCTAGATTGACGCTTGAGAACACCCTAAGTTTGCACTGTAATTATCGTAATATTTATCGAGGTTTATTGAAATTATGATTTCTATATAGTTAAGGTCGAGTCAGTATTTGAATTATTGCGAGTTGCTGTAAAAATTTGGTACAGGTAGGGATGTAAAATTACTGTAATTTTGCGCAATTTTACGTAATTTTGAGTAAGTTTCTGAGATCAAATTTTCGGATCATCATATATTTAAACAAGCCTTGCGCCTGCTCACGCGCTGTGAATTTTTTTTTAATATTATTGTTAAGGTTTATTGGTTGACAAGAGTGTTCTTCCATAAATTTTCGTACAAGCCAACCATACCAAGCATGTCGAATATATATATACGGGACACTTTAAGAACAGTTAACCCAGTGATCGACAATCATTTGATAAACATATGACGTCATTTGTTTACCAGAATTAAATAAACTGGCCTAAACTATATCCTAAATTAACCCTAAACTAGCCCTAACTTAGGCCGAAGATGATCATGTGATATTGTGATGATCACTGGGTTAACTCTTCTTAAATCTTCCCTATATATACAGACGAAAATTTAATAATATTGCTGTACTAAGTAAGATTATGTTCTAAAGACCTGTAGAAACATATGTTACATGTAATGCAAAAGAAATTTTTACGTATAACCAATCATGCCGAAATCACTAACTTTGGATGATCTCAAGCACCTCACTCGATGAATCAGAGGTAAGTTTTTAATTAGAGTGTTCTCAAGTACCTCACTCAATTGATCAGAGGCAAATTTTTAATAGTCAGAAATTGAATATTTTAAACCAAATGAGCTGCCATTTCGATGAACAGGTCAGCGAGCTACAACCTATCTTTTTTCTTCAAAATTTATTGTTGTTAAGCATTACTTTTGCATTTTTACATGAAAAACAATGAATTCTCAACAAATTTCAATCCGATCTAAAAAAATAGATAATTTATTTTTAATGCTCGAAGCATTTAAAGCAAATAATCAATATCTTTGATATGAACGTAATAAATGCACCCCATCTTTTAACCTTTAATCAAACTAAATGAATAAGACTTTTCGTTTTTCGTTTGCTATTTAATATTTTTTCAGCAAAGATGATTCAAAAATTGAAAGATTTTGGACTGATGTTTTCTATATTTAACGGATAATGAAGGTTATAACTTTTTTCGAAAAAATATTTTTGTATTACCTATGATACTTTTAGTGCGAAATAGCAAATGCAGAATTACTATAGATAGCCTATAAAAGGAATTTTTTAAAAAATTTACTTGTTTACAATTTTCGCTAACGACTCTATAAGTTAATTCTGTTACTGTTGCAACGAAAATTTAATTGGTAAAATCATTAAGAGGTGAAGCCAGTGAAACTGAAGTTGAAGCTTCGACAGATGATTGAATTAAAATTTTATTATTAGTTTTAGGAGGCGTAGAGAAGATTAAGGGTATTCTCAAGCACCTTAATCAACCCGTCGGAACGGGTCTTAGGGTAAATTTTTATTAGTAAAAAAATAGTTTAACGATGATTATTTCATAAAACACGTAATGGAAGTTTAATACGTCAGAAAGAAAACTTTTATTAGAAGAAGTTTGTTTCATTCCAATCAACAAGAGATAGAGGGTGTTCTCAAGCACCTACCTCAATGGACTAAATAACGAATCTGATTGGTCAGTTTAATCAAACTAGCCAATCAGATTTTTTATTGAATTCATTGAGGTTGGTGCTTGAGAACGCCCAGAGGCCCAGACGTCCTTTTTTTGTCATAGAGTTGTGTTTATTGGTCGAAATTTGTCATTGATTGATTAGAAAAAATAATTGTTCAAGTACTTCATTAGTATCGTGGATCTTGTAATGCTAGGAAAAACGTACGCCTTAAAAGTCCCTACTTGTAGAGAAAACCGGGAAAGGGTTTGCGTAACGTTCAACGATTATACTCAAAAGAGGACGTGGATTTGGCAGAGTCAAATATGTACTTTATTAATTGTGAGCCGACTTTACATTCTAATAAATTCTACGTTTATATACTATTTGCTTATATGCTATATATGCTATATGTTCTAATTACCCGGATCGGGATATCCTAATTATCCTAAATGCGCTAAATATGCTATCTATAGTGATGCGCCAATACAAACAAATGTGCATCCGATCGTCATAATTGACGATCATCTTCAAAATCATTATCAACATCGACGAATTATTATTAACTTATTTACTTATGCTAAAAATATTCGCCGCAAATAAAAAAGGCACGTTTTTGTGTTCTGTTGGTTCGTAGTAAATTCTGAAAAAGACGTAACAGAATTTGGAAGTGTCATAGATTCTTTGTCCTTTCGTTGATCCATCGGTTTCATTAATTTATTTATTTTTATAATTGCTAAATGGTAGTAATGATAAAGATGTTTGATCAAGCATAATTACAATCAATATTTTAATTTATCATAATACTTGAGCACCAACATGATAATAAATTAATCCATTGTGGAAGATACATGAGCATGTTTCAATCATATCATCGTCCATACTATCGGTCTTCAACATAATACCATCGGTTCTCAAAAATGGTCTAATTAATAATGGCATAATGGTTGAGCACTGGGTGTATCATGCAAGCCTATAGTGTAGATGTATAGTGAAAATCATTAATTGAATTTTTTTTATAGATCAACGATAGTGTAATATAGTAAAAACATATAAAATTCAAACTATAATAACTCTTGTACCAACAAGTCCATACAAATAAAATTACACTTGTCAGATTCATTTTAGCATGCTCATTGCACAGCGTCTTTTTATTTGTTTATTTTTATTGTTTAGTGCATAGCGGGTGTCCCAATTTCAATGCAAAATTGTCGCCTTTGATGTTTTTTTAAATAAAAAATCAAAACGTAGCTTTGAAATTTTTGTCGATCACCATTGCATTATGCAGTACAATACGTTTTATTAAAAAAACATCAAATTAATTTCCGAAATTAAGCAATTTGATTGGATCCGCACATTCGAATTTTAGACACTGCACCCGCTATGCTCTAAACAATAAAAATAAATAAAACAAGCGTTGTTACTTCAAAGAGCATGCTAAAATGAATCCGACAAATGTAATTTTATTTGTGAACTTGCTGGCACAAGAGTTATTGCAGTTTGAATTTTATATGTTTTACTATTACAATATCGCTGATCTATAAAAAATTTATTCGGATCATTTTCTAAATTAGTAATTTCATAGTATGCAAATTGAGACATTTTTTTTCCTTTTGTTCCCCTTTTTTAATATTCAACAGCTGTTCGACAAACGAAAAAATTCGAGCGCTATTTCGCTAGCTAGAGTTGAAATTTGTGATCCCAAAATTACCAAAAGTAGCTAACTTGAAGAAAAATCAATTACCATAAATAAATACCAATCTAACGCTAACCAAAATTTCCCAGAAAAGTAATTCATAATAACTATATAAACAAATTGTACTGGCAGATCCTCGATTTTGATTGGCTAATGGCCGAGGATCTTTAAATTTTTGGCCCGGAATTAACTTTTTATTTTTTCATTATACAAATAGATATTCTTAAAAAATAAGCCCATATTATGGTAAACTTAACCCAGGAACAATTTTCACTTAATGGGCGACTGTGATTTATTAGTAAAATTATGTGTAATTCCGGCCTAATTTTTGATCGTCGCTCTTAGCCAATCAAAATCGAGAACCTGCCGGTCCGATTTTGTTGCGGCAGCTGTGGTTAATGTCGGCAATACAAATACGTACGTACATCAAAAGTCCGAAGATTATTAACGTTTATAAACGTCGGGCATTTGGAGGTAGTGCAAGATCGTGATTTCAAAGGACCCCCAAAAGCGAGCGAAGAAATAAAAGGATAGAGAGGCCGTGTGCTAAAAAGAAATAACATCTTTTTCAAAGATTATCAAACAAACCGATTTAGTCTTCTTGTGATACCATGTACTCTTATGCCGAGAAAATGCAAATTGCAGGCAAATTTGCCTGCAAAACAGAGTAATGGATAAGTTATGTTCAGAGAGATCCGAATGTAAGGAGACCATAACACAATGACATAAATTCTATCACCATAAATTTCTATAACTGTAATGCCAAGCCAATACAATAAGAACAAAGGAAGTACCAAATTAATTTTTAATTCACTAAATGAACACACATATATATATACGTATTCTCATCTATGTTCTGCACGACAAAAGACTTAAAAATGTTTTCCAGTCGTTCAACTATTATATTTATAAGCGTCTTGGAAATTATTTTTATCATTCTTTTTGTTCTAATATATTATAATAATAATAATGAGTATGTTATTAATGATAAGATATATGATGTAAGTTTAAACTTCACGAGAAATCTACTATTACAAGAGATGTAAACCACATCGTAGTGAATTGGTTCTCTAGAATACCTGGCATATTAAAAATAAATAAATAATAATAAACAGTTCTCATAGATTTTTATAATAAAAGCTTGCAATAAAGTTTTTATTATTAAAAGACCTGTTTATTACATTGTTTTCTGATGTGCTAAGCAACTTTACTTTGAGTTTAGCCATAATCGGGAAATTTTTTTTTAGTGCAGTTCTGTGCAGATTTGCAGAAAAATTAAATAATAAATCAAATGAAAATCTGTACAAAACTTCAAACCTAGTAGCTATAACTGCAGAAATTAAATCTGCAAAAATACAGATTTTTGCAAATTTAGACTTATTTAATTTTCCCGATGATTATGTTATTATCATACAACATATGCTAAAACTAATAAAATTTATTTCAACGTAGATTACTTTCGTAGAGAAGTATAGGCCCGAAAGGGAATACTTACCATCGAACACCAAAAAAAAGCAACTTAAAAAATATTCAAAACCAAGTAACGAAGTGATACGCTCTTATCAAGTCGAGCCAATTCCCTTCAAGGCCAAAATGGAATGTAAAAGTTATCATGAAAAAAAGGGAATTCATTCAGGCAAATTGTGGAGTTGGCCTTCAGTTCGCATCTTTGTTGGTATTTGGTCAACAGCTAAAAATACTGCGATTCGAAATTTAATACGGACTCTATATTCGAAGCAAAAAAAAGATTTAATTGATGACAAAGTAGATTTCAAATTTATTCTTGGCAAATCGAGTGATAATGACATGTCCATGTTGATTGCAGAGAATGATACTTTTGGTGATATCGTCATACTGGATGTAAAAGGTAAGTTTAAAGTTATGAAAAATGTGAGTAACTGGTTTATTTAGCTAATCTTCAAAAATTTAGCTAAATGATCCATTTTACTTCACATTTATTAATTATTTACTGCAAATACTAAAATGTCATAATTGTACTTTGAAGAAAACATGAATAATGGCAAGGCATATTACTATTGGCAATGGGTTGGCATAAATATTAAGACCACAGAATATGATCATGCCGCAAAGACCGATGACGATTCTTTTGTACATTTTCAAAATATGGCTCTTAACCTTCGACCGCTACCACGTGATTATCTATATTATGGGCACATAATTAAATATAAGAAGAAAATAGCCTTTGCTCGAGGCCTGCTCCAAGTACTTTCACTTAATTATGTATACCCATTTGTGTCAATTCCATTCAACGAAAAAGAATGGAATGGGCCTGAAGATGTTAAATTGGGGGCATGGTTGGATAAATACACAAATTCAACTTTAAATCAATTCAATGAGGATTGCTTAATGATTCATGATCCACGAGTACCAGTACATCGTCCTATATGGAGGCAATGGGCATCTCCGCATACAATTGTTATACATTGGCTAAAAGACATTAATGCATGGAGAAGTGTTGTTGATTTTCACTTTGGCAAAGATTATAACTAGGGTGTTAGGCTCGTCGGTCAACTTATGTTATATTGTTATATAAACCTACACTATATTTAGGTTCCTGATCCCTTTCCGAACATATTATTATCTTATGGATGAATCTATTATTGTAATAATCATCTTGTAGCCATTACTATAATAAGCTCTTAGCAATACCTGAATTTAGTTTTTCTTTGATCAATGCTAGTGCCTCGTGAATTCGTAGTGCTGGGGTTTGGGTCGTGTAATGTGACTGCGTTGCATTATTCATATTTGCGTAACGCAGGAAATTAATTAACTATTTATATCTAATTAGTATGTAATATAATGTGTGTAACTCGGGTAATTATCCGGAGATATATGTATAATGGTAATAAGTCTAATAAAATACAAAATTTAGCTTTAAGTAAAAACGATTTAATAATAAACCAAGTGTAGTTTCTGCATTCGTCGTGATGAAGGTCGAGTAATGCATGGTGGTCAAGAAACATCGTGACGATGTCCAATGAACGTGCTTAATTTATTTCCTGTATACTTATAAAATTTTTATACAGTATTACAGTATTTTTAAGATACTGTTTATAATAATTTTTTGAGTTTAAAAAAAATTATTTATCAATAAGGCCACACAAAGTTAATCTTCGTTTTGCATAACATGGAATCAGAATTTTTTTTTATCGAACCTATCGCTATTGGGTAATTCCTGAAAATTAGTCACCTTCGGGTGATACCGGATAAATTTATGGGGAAAATGACAAAAATGGAATAATTAACAATCGGAACTTGAAAAGTTTTTTTTTGAAAAATTGGGTCGGCGAGTTATGCAAAACGAAAATTTAACTTTGCATGACCAAATTATGCCTATTTGTTTTTTTCTTTTATCTTTTTTAAGTTTTACTAATCAATACACTATTTTATTTCTCTTTTTAATAGTAAAAATTGTTAGTTCAACGGGTGCGCCATGCGTCAAATAGACTCAATTAAGATCATGTGATATCTTTGTTATAAAAGAAAAAATCCATTATTGGATACCCGCATTTAACGTTAATGCTTTGAATTTAATGTACTCGAGGTAACGCAAATTAAATTTAAGGCCACCAGGCGCTTTTTTTATTTATCATGTGAAACAATCATGCTGTAAAAAAATTATTTTAACCAATCCAAAATTTTTTTTTACCAATAAAATTTTCAGGAAAAAAACATCATTTTGTTTCATTTTTTATCTTAATAGAAGTATTTGTTGTCCCTTCGTGATCCTTCAGATCATTTATATTTTATTTTTATTTTATTTTAAATTTTATTAAATAATTCATAATCCGTGTGGAACCAAGTAAACTATGGTGAAATTTCTATTGTTTTTTTACCTTTTTTGAAAACTGGCGTTTCCCTAAGGACAAATCGATTTATACTAAGTAATTCTCTCTTCTAGTTCTAATAAAAATTATAGAGAAGAGAATCAGTCATAGCGGTGGTTAAAAGTTAAAATCGGCCCAATGGATCACGAAATACGAGCATTTTTGTCTTCGCAGCTATATGTTTGCTCTTTGTTTACTACATATGGCGCGAAGACAAAAATCCACATATTTCACGATCCACTAGACCAATTTTAATATTTTAATCTCTGTTGTGACCGAAATTATCTCATTTATAACATTTATTAAAAGTAAAAGATTGTTACTTAGTATAAAATCGATTTATCCTTTGGAAACCGCCAGATTCAAAAAAAAGCAAAAAACAATAGTAATTTTCCCTACAGTTTACTGTCTTTTTTCATTGGTTTCCAGACGGATCACGAATTAAATTATATTATTTATACAAAAAAACGTATGTGGTTTACAGCTTCTAGGTTTGTACAATCTTGACATGTTGGACGAAATATTAAGTGTAACACGTTATATATTTGATTAAAACTAGTGCTATGCCCGGATCTATTATGATTTTTAATGATAAGCGAATATTAATTCTGTTTAGAATTATAAATTTGTAAGATTACTAAAGTTATGCTGTATCTCGCAATTCAAGAATACTAGAAGCTTATGTTTTCCGCTTGCGTTTCACAATTGCAAACTTATAGAAGAAAATTAGAAATTAAAATTTGCACGAATAAAAATAAAAGTAAATATTCATATGGTAAAGTAATCAACCATATTTTCGCAAAATGGTGCTTCGATATTATTCTGTAGAGGCCATCAAATTAGATTCAGGGCATCCGAATGATAGTCCGAGTCTGAATAAGTCCAGTGTTACTATCTTTTGAGAAAGCATCAAACAACAAGCGCCAGGATAGACAAAATAGGATACAGCCAGACCTCTCTAATTGCAACTTTAAATCTCACCCAAATATATGCTAGACCTCCATAAATGCAATTTTCTTATTGTTTTCTAACTGCAAGCTGTCAAAAGTCTGGTCCCTTCGAGTTGTATTTAGGTAATAAACATGCACGTGTATATAATAATCAAGATGACGGATACAAGCACTCAGCAAGTATAAATATAATTCAACAAATAAAAGAATAAATATGTCGCGGTGCTGCCAACAAAATTATCGGTTACACGAACATTGACCAATAAAATTAGCTGTACATAAGGCCACGCAAAGTTAATTTTTCGTTTTGCATTACATGGATTTCAGAATCAACGGTCGGTCGGTCGGATTTTTTTT